TTTTGTCTATTCTGTCTAGCAGCGTTGCTTTTTCACGCATTAGTATTTTAGAAGGGGCTGGAGAGGTGGTACTGAATGAAGATCACCCCACATTTACTTACTCATTAATCATTCACTCTGGCTCTCTGCATGGTGTCCTTGCTGTAAGGTCACTACAACCAGGTCGACCTGTGCTCCTTGCTGGAACTTTAAACATGTGATATTTACTTTTGCATGGGCCCGTATTTGCCGACCAATAGGTTCAATATTGATTGTACACGCAGACTTTGCCAGGTCTTTATTAAATTTGCTTCTGTTTAAAGGGAACCTGCTCCCAGGAGCCTCTGCAGCCATTCAGCCATGTTTAAGTCATGTCAAGTTATGCTCTCACCATTTATTCAGTATGGCCACACCAATTTGGCATCATCCCAACAAGTCTGGATATTTCCTTAATGACTCTCACTTCTCCAGGGGCTGGCCAGATGCCACGGAAATCAACATATGTCTGATGCAGCAGACCCCGGTTCTCCTCATCTTCAGCTTGTCTACATTCAGCCTAATTTCCTGCTCCTGGCACTTGAGAGGTGTTGTTGCAGCTTGGTATAATGGTCCTGGATTGGCTCTTCCTTGACCTCTCTGAATGTCATCAGCTACTGCCTTAACACCTAGGAGTCCTTCGGTGTCTGGTTTGATTTACATTGGAACACCTATGGGGCTGGGCTAATGCCAGTAGGCATTTGTACCCAGTGATACCTGCCAAATGGTGTGGCAAAGGTTGTCAGGTGGCTCATGTAGCTCAATTTGCAAGAGCCTATTCTTGACGTCACATAGGGAACACTTTTGCACTAGTTAAATTGGGTAGTACATCCTCAATGGCTGGTGATGGGCACTGACTTCCTTTCAGTGCTCTGTTAAGTGGTTTTGGATCAATGCAGATCCTCCCTTTACCTGAAGGTTCTCTCACTATTACTAGGCTGCTGACCCATGCTGCACTAGTTTCAACAGGTGTAGCAATGGCTCTTTGCAGACTTGCCAGTTTCTTCTTCAATGGCTCCACCAAGGCTGATGCAGTTCTACATTTTGGTAGTCTCATGGGCTGCACTGGCAAGTCTATTTCTAACTTTAGCTTGCCCTCGGTGTTCATCTCCTTGAAATATGTCCTTATACTCTGTTAGAATGTTGGCTAGAATGACTGTTCTCCTTCCTCTTTCATGGTGAGGATATTCTGGTGTTGTACTATGATCAAATCATGGTTTGCACTGCCCTGCTGCCCAGCCGTGGGTGGTACTCCTGTATGTCAACTACTATAAGCTGCAAATGATAATGTCTCTTGTTTCACAGGGTTTTTTTTATTGACAGCCCAAATTTGCCTCTGGCCTCAGAATGCTTTTATTGTAGACTGGCCATTGCCACCATGTTTTATGTACCACATGCTGGGTAATAACATGAGAGGACTCCATGTTTCTAAAACTAAACTGGCTCTGTATTAAGAATACTATTTACAGAAATGCTGCAGCTGTGTCTAGCATTCTAGCCATGTGCAGAGATTGGCTTCCTTGTGGCATCTCCTCCAAACTCTTCCTTCTTGCAACCTGTGCTTCTTCTTCCAAATTCCAGGCACGTTGTTACACTTCTCACGCCTGGTACACCACGTATGCCAGAGCTTGCAAGAAGCAGCCTTACAGTTTCTTCTGCCATGCCTGCGCTAGGCGGAATCCTCACCCAGCCAGATACTGAACTTTGAGCCCTTTTAGGATACTCTGGCCCTTTTACACAGTGTAAAGGAGCTAGAATGGGATGAAGATCTCATCCTACCTCTTTTCAAAACTGGCTTTTACATATTTTACTGCATGATTTTGAGCACTGCTTCAGCTATACTTCAATTTCTTGTTATTTGTTTTTATGTCTTTCGCTATTTGCTCTTCAAAGTTCACTTCACTCTGCTAATTTCCACCTTGCACATTGTCTGTTTAATTTTAGTTCCTTTCTGGTGCCTTCATTAGATTTGGATTGCCATTATCTGGAGGATACCTGTCATTTACCCATACTTTTTCCCACTTTCTTTCTGCTATTAGGGCTATGCATGCCTTCTGTGACTGTTATGGGATGCTTACGTAACCTGCACGAGAAGTCTAAGGGCTTTAATTTCTTCATTTTTGGCTTTAGGGTTATTTCGATTGCCTCTGTATTTTTAGAAGATCCCTTTAGCTAAAATTTAGTGTCCCAGTGCTAGTTTTTGGTATGATCCCTGCCTCAAGGATCATTATAATTTAGTAGCAGTTTTGATAAAGAAAAAGTTTAAATACAAAAAGTTAATTGATTTAGACATGTTTTTTTACTGCCTCTGCACAGTGAGGTTTTCTCTTTAAAAATTATGTATGTATTTAGCTCACAGGCTTGGACTCTGATTCTGCAACTGGATCTGCTAGCACAGACTACAGTGCCTGAGCTTAGCTCAGAAAAGTCAGTGGGGCTCTGTGCATCTGCAGGCGTCTGTTCTAGAGGATCCAGTTGCAGGATTGGGGCTGTAGTGTGAATACATGACCGTGGAATAATTTGGATGTAAGAATCACTCAGAACCCCCTGACAGGGCAGTCTACAATGGCAATGAAGGGTCCATTGTTGTAAGCTATTGGGTGTGTCAGTTGTAAAGAGACCTGAAATAAAATCCTTAAACTGAATCATGGTTGAGCCCTGTTAGACCAAAAGAGCACTACCTTTATTTACTATCTGACCAGATTGCATTAGCTGTAGAATGTAGTACTTAGAATGTAGTACTCTCCTTTATATAATGCTTTTCTCCATGGATTCCATTATCTCAGCACAGGACATAAATAACTTCAGTTCACTTCAAAAGGTAAGGTCTAGGTCTATCCATTCTAGGAGAGTTATTTTAAAATGGGTAATTGCCATTATAGCTTGTTTTCTGAGATAGCTGGAACAAAGGTAAATTTAGCTGGGCTGAATGGGCACGTTTTGGTTGACAATGCAATAAGGAAGTTTAGTGCTTGAGAAGAAAGTTTGCAGACCTCATACTAAAGATGCTATCTGTGTTGAAAGATGGCCAACTGATTTACAATAGCTGAAATGTTCAGCACTGTATAGTGCAGATTAACACAAGACTTTAACACTTATCTTTAGTCCACCTAACATTTGAAGACGTGTGCAGGACCCTTCCATGTCAAATGACCCCGACTCTGAGACTGGGCTCTGCAAGAGAAAGTCAGTCTGAATTTTGTCATAGGAATTGCCATGCTGGATCAGAACCATGGTCCAGCTAGTCCAGTATGGTCTCCAGCAGTGGCCAGTAGCAGATGCTTCAGAGGAAGATGCAAGAAACCCCACAGTACTTGTCAAAAAGTTTCCTGCTGATTCTGTCTGTTCCAAAATAAGTAACCTTTATTAGCATGGCACACCTGAAGTTAGGATAGAGAGAAAATGGAGGCTTCTTTCTTCCTCAGTGAAGGCTTAAAAAAACCCAAACAAACCACGGGCCAGATAAGAAAAGCACTTGGGGTGAGATTCGGTGCTGTGTGTATGAAAGTGCTCACAGCCGAGAGGGAGGGGAGTTATGGTGGCCATCTCAAGTCAGCCCCATTTGGAGCACCCTCTTGTGGCAGTCTGCAGCATGCCAGGTGCCCCTGCATCAGTTTCTCTCCTTCATAGTCCCCAGAAATAGTCCCAACAGTCTTTCTAAGTACAAGTAGCCCTTGTAGGGTTAATTTATTACAAAAGAAAGCCGTATGCACATAAACCATAACCTAAGCCCCATAACCATAGTCCAGACAATCCATCAAGTAGAGGTAGAGCACCAGCAAAATTCACCACACCTCAATCCCAGTCTTCAGCCCCCTTTGGCCCTCTAGCTTCAGCTTTCCAGCTCTGAGAGCCAGAAGGCAGCTCCCTCTGCTGCTGTCTGCCTTCAGCCCTCTCCCGCCTTCTCCATGGCTCTCTGGGTCAGGAGTGTCAACAGGATAGACCCTCCACTGGCTTCCTAGCTCTCTTCTGCCTTCTACCACTGGCTTTGACTGAGGCTAGCTCCTTCACTGGCTTCCTGATAACCCCCTACCCACCCTTTCCAGGGACAGCCTGCAGAGAGCTTTCTGTTCTCAGAAGCTTTCCCCGGAGATCTTCTCCTCCAGTCTCCTGACTGACCTTCCGCAGGGCTCCCCTGGATCTTTTTTAGCCCCGGGTGCTGCTCCATCCTCTTAATTGGCCAAACTGACAGCATCTGCTCTGGCATAAGGGAGCCAGACCTGCTTCATCTGCAGGGGCCAGCCACTCTGTGACAATAGCTTTAAACTACCTTTACCCCCTTCTGAGCCTGAGCTGCTCTGGGGGCTGGAGAAGCTGCTGGTATAACTTTGAGAGCCCTGGGGGCTGTCTGATTGAGGCAGCAGCCCTCTGCCACTCTGCCTGGAATCTTGGCCTACTACACCACTCCAACCTCCCCAGCATTCTACCCTTCTGCTCCCAGCCTCACCCCCTGAGTGTCACCTCTGCCTGGGCTTGTGGTGTCCAGGAGGCAGCCTTCTGTGGTGCCTGCACCAGGGGAAGCCTCTCCCAGGTGGATACGAGACTTTGAGGGTCCCTTTATGCTGCTCTAGCCCTTACGGGGGTCAGAGGAGGGATGAGAATCGGGCCCGTAGCCTGAAATTTCATGTGCTAATTATGCAATTATTTTAACTGAAAATCCTGTCAAGGTTCCTTATCCTGGTCAGACTACAAATATTTGCTTCTCTGTTTTCGCTGAACCGACCATAAATATTAGCCAGTTATATCTTTTATATTTTATGTCAGTGTTGACATCCAGAAAAATGTATTAAAAATACAAAGATAGAAACTATTATTGTTAAGATGATGATGATGATGATGATGTCAGGCTGTAAAATGAACAGTAGTACAATACATTTGCCGTTTCTAATCATCATTCTAAATAGTCTCTATAGTTGATGGTGTTTCCAATGACAATAATGCAAGAATGTCAGATGAAGCCTTTGTTTCTGTCTGTTTTTTTGCAGAAGAATCATGGATTACTGTGGGAAGTACGCAGCGGTCACTGTAGTCATGTTGTCCATATTTCTGCATATTCTTCATTCTTTTCCAGATGGAGAGTTCCTCATGCAGGGTGAGCTACCTTTAACATTCAGCAATGACAATACAAACATAAGATGTGTATCAATAAAAACATTAATTAAATTTCCACTCATTGTATACTGTGGTCATAAATCTTATCTGCCAGATACATTTCTTGGCACGCTAGACTGTAATATGAACATGAAATGAAAATATAATGCTGTAGTGATATATTACATATTCATTTAAATGCCACTATATAAATTGCATCTAACACTGAGACATCTCTTACCACATTGTTCAGTTCAGAGTTTTACAAACAGAAAATTCTCTTTGTTCAGCTGCAACTTGGGCCTGGTCTACACTGAAAAGCTACATCGGCATAGCTACATGGGTCAAACCCCCCCCCCCCCCACACACACACACCTGACTGAGGTAGCTGTGCAAGCATAACTCTCAGTGTAGACACAGCTATGTTGACAGAAGAGGACTTCCGTCACCACAGCTAACGAGTTGTGTTCCTACATCCCTTCTGTCCATGTAGGCTACTTCAACCCTATGGGGCTATGCTGGCACATGTAATCTCTGTTGTGTAGACATACCATCCATCATGTTTTTCATTTTGTGAAACCCAACCCAGTCTCTCCATCCCACACATATGACGTTTGCCCACTTCACCTGCACTCTCCCTACTAATCCTTCTCTATTAGGACAATTTCTATCATTCCAAACTTATAAGAAGCTTTAAGCTGCTATAATTATTAAGGTTTCAGAGGAACAGCCGTGTTAGTCTGTATTCGCAAAAAGAAAAGGAGTACTTGTGGCACCTTAGAGACTAACCAATTTATTTGAGCATGAGCTTTCGTGAGCTACAGCTCACTTCATCACTGAAAGCTCACGAAAGCTCATGCTCAAATAAATTGGTTAGTCTCTAAGGTGCCACAAGTACTCCTTTTCTTTTTATAATTATTAAAAAACACCCCCTAAGCCAGTCTGCCATAAAATATTTCCTTTTCTTCCCCCAAATGCAGGATTTTTCCCAAACGTGGGATTTCCCCCCAAATGACACTGCCCTCAGGTGCTGGGGAGTAATATTAATTCCTGAACCAGAGCAAGTTGAAAGTTTATTTGTGACCCTTCAGGGCTACAAATGGCAGCTTTATAACATTTGAAAGAGAAGAGCCTTGCTTCTCTTGATAACACACAGCATATGCGTCTATGCCTCGTAGAGCCTGGGATAGTGGATTTTATAGAAGTCATTATATTTTAAAGAAATATATATTTTAGGTCAGTTTTAGAGTATTTTAAATTTGTTATCATTTTTTCTCTCCCCCCGAGTTCTGTGCAGTTGATCTTATGCTAACTAACGCACCCTGGGTGAGATCCTTACCCCTGCTCTGGCCCTTATGCTGTGTAAAATGACAGATACCTTGTAAAAAGGCCCAAGGAGCCTTGTAGAAGAGTCCCTGGCAAAGGCATTATGGAAGACAGCAGTAAGGCTGGTTTCAGAGGAACAGCCGTGTTAGTCTGTATTTGCAAAAAGAAAAGGAATACTTGTGGCACCTTAGAGACTAACCAATTTATTTGAGCATGAGCTTTCGTGAGCTACAGCTCACTTCATCAGATGTATACCGTACACGGTATACATCTGATGAAGTGAGCTGTAGCTCACGAAAGCTCATGCTCAAATAAATTGGTTAGTCTCTAAGGTGCCACAAGTACTCCTTTTCTTTTAGCAGTAAGGCTGTCTCCCAAAACTTGCTCTCACACCCTGGTGTAAAGGCCAAGCTGAGGGAGGGGCTGAGAGGGTATGACTACACTGCACACTAAGCCCAGGTTTGTGGGACCTGGGTTTATGGACTTGGTGTTTCCAAGCTCATACTTGAGTGTCCACACTGCATTGTAAACCTGGGTTTACAGTTGCTGTATTCGAGTCTCACAGAACTGTGATAACGTGTCTGTACTGCATTACACAGCCCTTCTGACTCAGGTCTGTGGCTTGAGCTGCGTCTACACTGCAAAATAGTGCTTTAACCTGAGTCCCAGCAGGACTTGGGCTCTGACCCCACCCCCACCCTCCTCCAGCAGGATCTTACGACTTGGGTCCTGAGTGCTTGCTGATCTGAGTCAGACTGATTTGTGTGTGAACGGAAGAGTGGTGTTAGCTTAATCCTGAGTCAGGGCCCAGGCTTGGTGTGCAGTGTGGACATAACCAATGTGGGAGGAATGTGTCGGGGCAGGGTCACAGTATGCAGCACAGTGTTATGGAGATCATAGGGAAGCCTGAGGAGGCAGCTGTAACTTAAACAGACCCCCCTGCTGTGCTACTTTCTGGGCTGTGAGCTTTGTACTGCAGTTCTTAGATACTTGTGCAGCATGGAACCTGGCCTCTGGACTTTACATAGGGAAGATTATAAAAATAAGACCCAATAAAAAATTTAAAATTCTCTACAACATTTGTAAAATATTTTTTCTGTACAATATGTGGTATGTTTATGCCCTGATTAATCAAAGGCCAAATTCAGAACAACACTTATACACATGCTCAATGTTAAGCATATGCTTAAGTCCCATTGACTTCAAACTGGGGTGAACACAGTACTCATGACTGGCAAGGAGGATCATCTCAAATGAGATCCCATTTCAGCAAGGAACCTAAGTACCTGCTTAATTTTAGGCACATGATTGAGTTAATCCCTGCTCAAGAAAGCGCTTAAGCACATGCTTAACCTTAAACTCATACTCCTGTTACTAGGGATTATGGGTGCCTCAATTTTTGGGTGCCCAACTTGATATGCTTAAAGGGGCTTGACTTTTAAAAAGTGGGGAGCATCTGCTCTCTGAAAATCAGGTTCTTTTGATGAATCTCAAGTTAGACATGTAACAATGGAGACACCCAGTAACACCAATCACTTTTGAAAAACCTTGGCAACAGTGATAAAAACTGTTCCCTATTGTCTTAGGTAACTTAATCTCTTATCACGGGGAATGTCTAAAGAATACTGCAAATACTGTGATAATACTGTTTAGCCACTAACAAGTTTTTAGGGATGACAACTATATATATTCACCTACAACCCAACCCTACAAAAGAAAATTAACGAGAAACATGGAAAAGTAGCCATAAATGTTTGCGTCTCAGCTGGAAAGATGCCATGAATGTAGCCTTGCTAGTTGTGGGTATTCCAGAGCTCCAAACCCTTAACAGAGAAAATCCTTCTTTCTGTTGTTAGATGATAACTGGGGATGACCAGCGGCGTAACCCATGTTGTGCTTTTTTTTTTGGTCTGTTAGTGAAAATAAAAATCTAACTTCAAATCGGCTATGGCATATAGGGAAACATTTCAGTGGCTTGTTTATAGTTTCTGTTACTTATGTATTTGTGGTAGGTTGTCCAGAATGCAAACTAGGGGAGAACAGGTTCTTCTCAAAGCCAGGAGCTCCCATTTACCAGTGCACAGGGTGCTGTTTCTCCAGGGCTTATCCCACTCCCATGAGATCAAAGAAGACAATGCTGGTTCCAAAGAACATTACATCAGAGGCAACATGCTGTGTAGCAAAAACCTTTACAAAGGTGAGGACAAGACCGAATCCTGTTTAAGCTTGTTTTATGATATGACATAAATCAATGAATAGAGCAGAGCATGTTCCTGCGGTAGGGCATTTAACCACCATTTGAGGAAAAAATCCTAGATTCTTACGTTCTGAGCATCTGATTTCTATTCTTTTAAAGAAATTAGCATGTTAAACATTAGATAAACATGGAGGGCCGGATCCTCAGCTGGTGTGAATAAATTGTGGGCGCTCCACTGATTTCTATAGTACTGCACTGATTTCTATATACCTTCTGAAGGTCTGGCCCTGAATTTTTGCCCTTCCCCCAGGTTATTTTTTTTGGAAATTCCCCTTGAGATGCAATATCTCCCTAAATACCACTCAATTGGTGTTTGACTCTGTTTGGTGTGATTTCCCTTGCCTATTCCCTGCATTGGCAAGAACCCTTCTGAGCAGCATGGAGACTGGTCAGGACAAGAAATGATTATTAAGGTAGGGTAAAAAATAGTGTCAGCATACCTCCAATGAAGCCTGTTTTTCACCTACCCCTATTAATTTGTAACCCATTTCCACAGAACACAGCCTTAAATTCACCCAGGGGTGTGGGCCTGTGTAAAGCCACCAATCCAGTGAGTCCACAATGGCTGGATAGTGGGCATGTGGCAGAACTGCACACCCACTGCGCACAGCATAGCTAACCTCTGTGCCAGCTCCACATAGGCAAGCATGAAGGTGGTTTTAGGGTCATCAAGGGAGGAATGGTACCCCTGGTTGAAAACCACTGCTCTAGCTCACCCAGATTATCCTTGCTCCCATTCAGCCAATATACTTTGGCCAAGATTTTTTTTTTCATGACTAGTTGTTCTGAATGTCTCCATGCTTGGAGGGCCACCTTCAGATACCGTAAAGGGGCCTGAAATTTCAGAGCGTGGATGCTTGACAGTGTCTGAAACACAGGCCCCTCTAAGAAATCTGATGAGGTTCAACAAGGACAAGTGCAGAGTCCTGCACTTAGGACGGAAGAAACCCATGCACCACTACAGACTAGGGACCGAATGGCTAGGCAGCAGTTCTGCAGAAAAGGACCTAGGGATTACAGTGGACAAGAAGCTGGGTATGAGTCAACAGTGTGCTCTTGTTGCCAAGAAGGCCAATGGCATTTGGGATGTATAAGTAGGGGCATTGCCAGCAGATCGAGGGACGTGATCGTTCCCCTCTATTCGACATTGGTGAGGCCTCATCTGGAGTAGTGTGTCCAGTTTTGGGCCCCACACTACAAGAAGGATGTGGAAAAATTGAAAAACGTCCAGCGGAGGGCAACAAAAATCATTAGGGGACTGGAACACATGATTTATGAGGAGAGGCTGAGGGAACTGGGATTGTTTAGTCTGCAGAAGAGAAGAATGAGGGGGGATTTGATAACTGCTTTCAACTACCTGAAAGGGGGTTCCAAAGAGGATGGATCTAGACTGTTCTCAGTGGTAGCAGATGACAGAACAAGGGGTAATGGTCTCACGTTGCAGTGGGGGAGGTTTAGGTTGGATATTAGGAAAAACTTTTTCACTAGGAGGGTGGTGAAACACTGGAATGCGTTACCTAGGGAGGTGGTGGAATCTCCTTCCTTAGAAGTTTTTAAGGTCAGGCTTGACAAAGCCCTGGCTGGGATGATTTAGTTGGGGATTGGTCCTGCTTTGAGCAGGGGTTTGGACTAGATGACCTCTTGAGGTCCCTTCCAACCCTGATATTCTATGATTCTATGATTCTATGTGCCAGGTTAGGCACTCAAAATCACTAAGTGCTTTTGAAAACCTTGCCTTCAGGCTTTGTGGCTCTAAGCTATAGAAAACCAGTGTAATACTACACAGGATTCAGGTGCCATTTCGATACCTATATCTCAAAAGACATTTGTACGGTATCTAGTTGAAAAAAGAAAGGCTTCAGAAACACTTTGCATGAAGAATTTTGTTTTAGCAATGTAGTTAATTGTAATTTTGTGTGTGTTTCTTTTTAAAAGATTACCCTTAAGGACAACGTGAAGATAGAGAACCACACAGACTGTCATTGCAGTACCTGCTACTATCATAAATCTTAAAGCCTGTCCCATCGATAGTGACCACGGATGACAATGAATGGAATTGTTTGTTTTTCAGCTTTTATAGCACCTCTATTTAAAATATTAGGTTTTCCAATCAGGGCATTTTAGTGCACGATCTGATGAGATGTACAGCTGTTTATCTCCTCTTTACTTCATCACGTATTTAACCAAGTTTAATTATTTCCATTAGGAGTGAAATATAGCACTTTGCATGACAAAAAATGCTTGATCCATTTTTAAATAAAGTGTGAATTAAAGTATCAATGTTTTCGTCAGGAAAAAGACAATGTAATAGTTTAAAACTAAAAACATTTTGCAGGGGTTGAGTCCCAGGACTTTGTGGGGTGGGGGTGCAAGGGGAAAAGGAATGCAAGTCTATTGTTTTTGCTTCGATATATATTTTATGATTTTTTTTGAAACTTGCAAAGTTTCTGTTCTCCTGTTTTCCCTCCTTTTCCTTTCACAACTTCCATTGTGGGCAAGGAAGTTCACCCGTATAGGAAGCCACATAGAACCTTTATGTAGTGGTCTCCTTCTGTGTCACCTTTCCCCACTTGTTTGAACTAGTCCTTCTCTGACATGTTTTATTGGATGTAAGATCAGATGCTCCTAAAATACAGTTCACCCAGGGTGTAGAGGGTATGCGTTCATGTGTGGGGTGTGCAGGGAAGAGGGAGTGGTACAGACAGACCATCCACATAAAGGGGGCCTCAGAACTCTCTGTGCACCATAGAAGGGGGCTCTATATAAGCTACAAAAGCAATGCATCAGCCCCAAATAGGCAAGCGCATATGAGAGGAGGGATGGTTGGCCAGTGTGCAGCATGGGACATTTGCCAGAGCAAATCCATTACTCCTAAAATCCTATGTAGGATTTGCAGAGGGGTCACTCCTCCAGCATAAGGGCTGGAGTAATGAGTATAGAGGAATTGCTCTACAGCTCTGAGGCCTGCCTGCAGGTAGTGGGATAAATGAATTGCATCTCTCCCAGCCCTTGCTTATTGCCCACACAAAGCCCAAACACTTTGGGTAAGCACCTCACGCTGGCTCCGGGCCCTTTATGCCATGTATAAATGCTGGAGTCGGTAAAGGTGTCTTGTTTGTCCGGGAGAGGATCCCCCTGGTGCAGACACTGTGGAAGACATCTGTAAAGCAGCCTTCTGAGAACCCCTTGGCAAGCTCTGGCATAGGGGGTGCACCAGGGTGGGACTGTGAGGGTGAAAGGGCCATGTTGAGGGCATAACTGCAGTTAAGATTCTGGCCAGTGCTGCACTGCACCGTGCAGCCCCCAAGAGACTGCTGTCATATAGACAGCCCCCCAGAACCATCTAAATTATGCCAGGGCTCTGGAACAACTCAGGATTTGGCAGACACCTCAAGTATCACACCTGAGCTGTGAGACTCACCCATATGAACCCTGTCTCACATACTCCTGAAATCTCTGAGTGGACTCTAGAACGCGGAGCAGGAGCCCAAGAGCTAGGTTGCAATGCCACTCAAATTTGGTCTGGCTGCCCTTCTGTCATGCCAGCTCTGGTTACTTCCTCCCCACTGTCGGGCTTGTGCCCTGCCCCTGCCACTGCTGAGGGTGGGGCTGGGGCTGGGGTGGGCCTGGTCAGAACCTGATTGGCTCTCAGCTCCTAAACAATCAACCGGTATGGAGGCAGAGGCAGGAACTTGAGCTAGATGTTGTGGGGTGGTGATGGAGCCTCTGTAGATGGTGAAGTGGAGCTGAGTGGAGCAACAGGAGGCCACAGCAGCTTTATTAAAACACAGTACCCCGCAGTGACCCAGCTCAATCATAAAAAGAAAATCTCTGAGGCTCAGACCTCTTGCATTTTTGTGATAGCTTCTTAGTATTCAGAAAAACTCATGCATTACAACTTTGTCAACTTGAGCTTTCTGGATTTGAAGGGCCTGCAAGTAACTTAAATGCATAATAGCTCCCCCACCTACTGAGCACAGTTCCCAACTTTCACGCGGTAAATAAGCACCCCGCCTTTCACAATAAGCCAAAAATCAAGCTAATTCCATTTCAAAACAAGGCCAAAACAAGCCAGTGCCTAAGAACCTCAACACTGTATGTGACTAGATCCCACCCGCGTGCAGTCCGGGATTGTGGTGGGCCTGCTGTGCACCCCTGACTCTCTCCCCTCCTTGCCGCTGCTTGCCCCTTGCCCCTGCTTGCTGGGAGCAGATAAAAAAAAGAAAGAGAGAAAAGAAGAACAAGAAGAAGCAACAAGTTACAACAAGCCAAACAAGTAACAAGCTACAAGCCAAAAACTAGCCAACAAGCAACTCAGAAGCCAATTAAGCCCCCCCAAAAGCCCAATTTCTACATCTTTTTCGTGGGTTTGGCATGTCTGCCCCTGGTTGTGAGTTCTGTGCAGTGGCTCTAGTTTTCCTTGGAACATGGAATAGGAACTTGGTGTCTCTCCCAAGTGCCACTTACGCACTGTGGCTACATTTCAAGACACTTGACTAGTTATTCTATTATTATTAATAAAGTTTACATTTGAGAAAGGATGAGGAGTTGTGGAAGGAAGAAACAGCTGGGAAATATATTTATTTGTGACTCAGGAAAACGGTAGCTCAGAGGCATTGTAGAACTTTCAACAAACAATGTGAATAAACTTTCTTATTTAAATATAATATTGAATACTACCAATATCTAAAAATACAATACATTATTGGATACTTGCATATTTAAAAATAAATAATGAAGTAATTTACCCAAGAAATGTCCATGACATATTTTATATCAATCTTTTAGATCTGGAGAGGTTTTTTATAATAGATAAATAATAGCACTTACATATTGATTTACATTACACGTTCAGACATTAAATAATTAAGTTTAGCAATCTAATTATCTGGTTTGAAACGTTCAAGCTCCATTTGCCCTCAATGAGACGGGGAAGAACCTACCCAGCATGGGGAAAAGTCAGGCAGATGCTTACACAGGTGCTTGTGAAGTGAATAATCCTTTCACAATATGTTGAGGGTCTCTGTGGCTGCACAGCTCCAGTCAAACTTCCAACCATGGAAGAACCAAGGTCAAGATTTGGCCCATGATTTGGAAAGTGCTTTTAGATGTTTTAGATTTTTCTAAACATTACCCACATGCCAGCCCATGTCAGACAACTCCTGAGCTATTAGCACATCTATCTGTGCACTCACAGCAAATACATGATAAGGGTGCTTGAAGAAATGTGGACCTTTTTGGATTGCCAGGTACCAGGATGACTGACCACGCTGAACAGGAAGGAGAGGATGCTGCTGACCCCGCTTGTGGCAAATGGAGAACAGGAGGAATGCATACATGATACACATGATGCTCCGAGTCTGCCCTGTCTGCACTTGCTTCCAGCTTTGCAGGAATTGTTCAGTTCACAAGTCAGTCTGTCATCCTGTGTAGCTGATGTCCTGTTTTCTAGATCTTATAACAGAAGAAATTAATTGAATATTCTACCCAAGGGCTCTACTCATCCATTCTTACTCAGTCAAAGTTACCATTGAAGTCTAGGGGTAAGAAGAATACAAAGTTCTGATAGGGCCCTTATTGAGCATCCCTGGCAAAAGAAGATGAGAGACGACAAAAACCGTCTCCATTCAGTTGAACCACATTTACTTGACATGGCATTTATTCTATAAAATAGGGTTTCAGATAAAGGGGATCTGTTTAATGTTGGTCATGAACTGGAAGGCCATCATTTTAAGGTGCTCAGATACTATGATCATGAGGGTGGTATAGAACAGAACCTCATCATACATAACCCAATTTCAAATAAGGCTTGTATTGAAAATTGATTGTATTGATATTTTGTTTTTTCCCCAGACAACTCCTGAATATATAGAGAAAATATACAATGGGGCTGTATAACCCAGCACAAATAGAGAGTCAGATTTTCTGGCTAGCTAAAGCCGCTAAAGGAGCTGGAGATGGCCAGTGGAGAATTCCCCCTTCCCAGAGGAACGCTCCACTTGTATAAATTGGGTACAGGTGGCTTTGTAATCTCCTACACCAGCTGCACCCCCAACCCCACCAGTGTAAAGGAAAGGAGGGGGTGTCGGGGTATACTGGGAGTGGAATGTGGCTAGGATGGAGGGGAGTGGGCCTGGTGGAGCAGAGTAATGACTGTATGTAGGAACTGGGCAGCTCTGAAGCAGGTTTCTCATGCTTTTTAAGCCATTTTGAAATATTATAAAATATACACCATGGAACTCCCTGACACCATAATGAGGAGCCCTATCAATCATTTAGCTCATTACTCAGGTCATTATAGAAGTACATGTGGGTGCTGTCGTATTAATTTAGATAAAATAAATGGGCTAACGATATCAACGTAACCCAGTCACTGTCCAACATTAAACAGTGTTAAAAAAGGTCCAGGTCTTGGTCTACAGAGACCTCAACTTGTTAGCACCATGGCAAACACACATTAAAAATCCTTTTAACTTTTTAGAAAAGAACGAAAATAGTGAAAACATTTGAAATGTAAAATATTGAATAAGACTCTCATTTTAACAGCATCCGTTGTTCCCTTTCCCTTTAGCTGGAGAGAGTTTTAGAAGGAAATAAAACCCCTTTTTTGACAGTCTGTTAGATGGTATCAAAGATGGTAATAAATCCTTTTTGGGGAAAAGAGAAGAAGCTCGTTGAGACAGGCTGGAGATGTCATTGCTGCTGTTGTTGTTAAAGTCCAGTCTTAGAAGAAAAATCCCTCTGGTTTGACAATCTCTTAGATGGTATTAACGATGGTAATAACTGTCATCCCAGGTGGTGGTTTGGATTCTCCTGGGGCTGATAAGGGTGGCGATGTCACCTGGATCCCTCTCTCTCTCTCTCTGATCCGTTCTGGCCAGGACACCTCTCAGGATCACGAAGATGAAGGTCTGGAGTACCAGGAAGTGGTGGGAGTGGCAGCCATGATGGTGAAGCTTGCACTAGTAGCCTCTTGTCATACTTTTCATTTTTTCATCCTTTCCCCACAAACTCTTTCTCTTTTAGGGACCTAAAAAGGGGGTGATGGTTGGAATAACCCAGCCCCTCATTATTTTGTCCACCAGTTAGGTCTAATGTCCAACATCCCATTTTTGGCTCATTAATTTCTGGCTCCACACTTACTGTTTTTAACAAGCATAATTTACACACGGTCCTTCAATCATATCATCTTGGCCCTTTTGTTTAGAATAATTCAGTTATTCTGTCTCCCTTTTTGTACCTTTTCCCATCAACATTGGTTATTATAGAT